TAGTGAGGATCTGGGGACATATCTTAGCCTTCTTCAACTGTCTTAGGAAGTACAGGCGCTGTTCCGCTTTCTTGATCAGACAGGTGGTGTTGAGAGACCATGTGAGGTGTTGAGAGACCATGTGAGGTCCTCGGTGATATGGACACCAAGGAATTTAAAGTTACTGACCCTTTCCACTTCAGTCCCGTTGATGTGGATAGGGGCATGTCCGGTTTGCAGTTTCCTGAAATCAACGATCAGCTCCTTGGTTTTGCTGACGTTGAGGGTGAGGTTGTTGTCATCACACCATGTTGTAAGGAGATTGACCTCCTCCCTGTAGGCCCTCTCATCATTGTCTGTGATCAGACCTGCAACTGTGGTGTCATCGGCAAACTTGATGATGGAGTTGGTGTTGTGTTTGGCCTTACAGTCGTGGTTATAGAGGGAGTAGAGCAATGGACTAAGCACACACCCCTTGTGAATGTGATTTATTGAGTCTCACTCAATAAATCACATTCACAAGGGACTACAGACACAGCGCCCTGATTCCAGAGTCCTCCCGAGCTCCCAGTATTTGGAAACGGAGTTGTTGTTTTGTTAAACCCCTGGATCGTTACAGTGAAAAGAAACGGTGAGATGAAGACCAGTTGGAAGCTGCTCGGCGCTTTTCGCCTTCGACGGCAGATGGCGCTCGCCGCTCTGTCCGGGCGCAGGTCCCGGATGTTGGCTCCGCTCGACTGCTGCCTGACGTCATACATGCCTTTTCATTGGTGTCACGTGGGGGTACAGTTAATGATCATTTGTTTCGTTTATTTAGCAAATCTAAAAAAATCAGTGCTGTAGGGGTCCGACGACCTGCTAATACTACTAGTAATAATAATAATAATAATGTGAATTTCGTAGTTTCACTTCGTCCGTGCCTTAAAATGTCGCAGCCAGTAGTGAGTTAATTGCTGCGCATGCTCAGTGCTGTCAGCCCTCGTGCTTTTTCGTGCTGCGTCACGCTTGTGTCTCGCGTGTGCGGCCCGTGGACCCGGGAGTCACGCGGGCACGCAGCTCCACTCCCCGGGCAGGACAGCCGGCCCGCCCCACACCCGTGAAACCAGCACGCCGCGTGCTCCGGCGTGCAGTGGGTCTGGCCGTGCCACAGCTCGCGTGGGCTGTTGAAAACGGGACGGTGCGGCTCCTCAGCCCAGCGGCCCGCACCCGGCTCAGCTCGGCCGGCTGTCCGCGGGGAGGAGACGGGCGTGTCGTGACTCCGGGGGAGGGCGACCCGTAGCTGTGCAGATGTGTGAAGCGACACGTACATGCACAAATATGTTTCTGTTCTTTCTGGGAGGGTGATTGGCGTGCCAATCCTGCGTGACGTGTCGCTGCGATGACTCAGGCGCTGACGTGACTTCTGAAACAGCAGCCAGACAGAGCGCGCCTCCGCCTCCGGTCACGCAGCACGCCAGTGAGCATCTATTAGAAATTTAAACCATCAAAAGGCAAGACGTACAACGGAAATATGTAGAAAGGTTAATTTTCAGCTTTTATAATTGTGAATTGCTCAGGCTGTGTAGTGTCTATTTCTGTATCTGTTTTTAATATTTTGTCTCCTTTTTGTATTTCTGTTGTTTAAATAAAAACTATAAAAAACACGTTAATAAAGTGACGGTTAATCCCAGCTGTGTTCGTGGATATCGTGAGAGATTTGGGGTAAAACATCGCCTTTGCCGAGTCTAAGGCTGAAGAGCGAGTTTTGTTCTCGGCTCGCCTGGCGCCGTGCTCGATGCGCGCTACCCAGCTCCGGAGCGCGGCGCCTAGGTGCGCGCGTGTTTGGTAGCCATGGCAACACACGCAGAGAAACTTTTTTTTTCTGCGTGACACACCCGAGCACGTGGAAGTCACCACGCGACAAAGAAGCAGCGCAAGGCTGGATCCGGGATCAGGCAAGCTGAGGAGCTCCGAGCAAGCAGGCCAGAGCCCGCAGCCTCTTCTGGCCTTGAGCATTACTGACAGACACCCCAAAACATGGCGTAGCGCCCCGCTCTGTGACCTGCCCTGTGCTGTCAGGGGGCCTGGGGGCCTGTCTGTCTCTATCCGCCCTTCGGGACGTCCTGACTAGCGGGCGGGCTCCCCGTGTAGTCCAGGGCCAGCCCATCACAGGAGACACACACACACACACCAGGGCCAGCCCATCACAGGAGAGACACACACACACACACCAGGGCCAGCCCATCACAGGAGACACACACACACACACCAGGGCCAGCCCATCACAGGAGACACACACACACACACACACACACAGCACCCCATCTTTGGAACTGAACCCAGGGCCCCTGTGAGGCAGCAGTGGTGACCCCTGTTCCACCTTCCACCATGTGGCCCTTGTGATTTTTATTAAACATTATGATCATTATCTTCATTAGAAGGACTCAGGCTGGGACAGGAGATCACACACTGTATTATTATAATTGAGAGACAGACTCACTGTCTGTTCCTCAGGCTGGGACAGGAGATCACACACTGTATTATTATTGAGAGACAGGCTCACTGTCTGTTACTCAGGCTGGGACAGGAGATCACACACTGTATTATTATTGAGAGACAGGCTCACTGTCTGTTCCTCAGGCTGGGACAGGAGATCACACACTGTATTATTATTATAGAGAGACATGCTCACTGTCTGTTCCTCAGGCTGGGACAGGAGATCACACACTGAATTATTATTATTGAGAGACAGGCTCACTGTCTGTTCCTCAGACTTGGACAGGAGATCACACACTGTATTATTATTATTGAGAGACAGGCTCACTGTGTTCCTCAGGCTGGGACTGGAGATCACACACTGTATTATTATTATTATTATTATTATTATTATTATTTTATAGGCTCACTGCATCCCCAGAAGGTTTTCTAATGTTTTTAGCAGATTTGTAGAAGTCTTTCCCTTTTAAAATCATGTATTTATCTACAGATATCAGATCAAGGCTCTCTAGCAAATCAGGAACCACACTGCAAACTCACACAACCAACGGTTGGAGTCGTATTGCAAGAGCATACGCAGGACACAGGAGTCAGGGAAAAATACAATCGCCCCAGAGGAAATACTTGATAAAGGCAGACAGAGTGGGAACATCAAGGACCCGGTTCAGACAGAAGTGAGAGACTGTGTCAGATGGGTCTGAATAGGACAAACATTTCAGCACTACTATGTGGCAGGTCTGGTCTCACGGACACAGCTCATCCGCCATAATCAGAACAGCTTCCAGCCCTACTGGGGGATACACTCAACTGAGCCGCAGCCCTGTGTGTGATCTCCCCTCCCAGCCCGAGGAACAGTGACCCTGTCAAATTCAAATTCAAACAGCTATATCGGCCTAAGTGGTAAATTACAGTGTGGCCAAAGCAGATACAATTAACACAACATTTACAGACAATTACAATACAAACACATTTTAGGATATTTACATTATTGAGAGACAGGCTCACTGTTCCTCAGGCTGGGGCAGGAGATCACACCCTGGGCTGTCTCTAAATGTCCAATGATATGTTTTACTGTAAATGTCTGCAAGTGCTGTGTTATTTGTATGCACTTTGGGAACACTTTAACTTATCAGTCCTGCCAATAAAGCTTGTCGAATAGCATTGAGAGGGAAATGGCTTTAAATTTAGAGTCGTTTTCTCTCTTATTGTTTTCTGCAGTCTTCCCACACAGCCCGTTTCGAATGAGAAAGAGGTGCAGAGAGAGGGGTGAGGGCAGGGGGTTGATGGCCCATCTGGGACAGAGAGGGGCTCTCGGCTCTGTGTGTTAACGCTGCCACCCGGGGAGTCAGGATGCCAGTTCATCTCGCGTCGCTCTGCCCAGCGGGAGCCCAGAGGGGAGAGTGGTGAGGACGGGGGGCAGACAGATTGCATTGCATTGAATTCACCTTTATGTGTCTTTATCATTTGTCTTGTACTCGGGGAGCTCCTGAAGAAGCTCCACAGCCGAAACCATGTCTCTTTTCTCTACCTTCCAGCCTGAAATAAACCTCTGCCTGTTCCATTTAACAGACGACAGTAATGCACTACAGCAGCATCTGCAATAACAGCAATGCCATGATACAAAACAGCATGCAGCACATTGCTCAGTCAGAGCTCAATCCAACTCTGACGAATCAAGATTAAACACAGAAACACAGTATCGGGCCCGATACAGACAGATCCACAGCCCTGCCTCCTCCCTCTGTGGTGAGAAACGCAGACCCTGACTCCAGCAGCCTCAGCAGCTCACCGTGCAGTTCCACGGTCTCAAGAACGATAAGAACGATAAGAACTAGGACCGAACGGTTCTGGGCAGGGCCGGCCGAGCAGCGCGTCTCCGAGGAAAGCTCTCCCCCTGGCTTCCCGGCTTCAGGAATCTCCTGGGCACAGGGGGCGCACGGCCGGTTCGGACCCGGGCCGTCAGGCTCAGCGAGATCTGCAGGCGTGAACACAGCAGGGGGTCTTTGACAACACAGAGGGAGGGTCCTGGCACTGTGGCGCCGCTGACGACTCCGGACCCCCACCTGGGAACCCCAGAGAATGAGGAGGTGCGAGACCCCGCAGGGGCACTCAGCTGCACCCGGGCTCACGTCCCACTTCGCAGCTCTTGGGCGCAAAGCTGCCCTTTTGTTTTTGTTTCCAATTCTCCCTGCCAGCCTCTGAGAGAGCCAGTGGTCAGCATGCCCAGTGGTCAGCAATGTGCAGTGGTCAGCAGTGACCAGAGCTCAGCAGGGCCCACTCAGGGGGGTATGACTGGAGTCTCAGGGTCCAGCCTGCACTGAGACTGAACAGGTCTGATGCCCCCAGCGCCCCCCCACAGGCACCAGAGCACACAGGTCTGTCCTGCCCAGAGTCCAGCAGGCCGGACGGGCCGGGCCAGTTCCTGCTGGTCATCGGCTGACCTGAATCCTCCGGGGCAGAGCGAGAGGAAGCAGAATAATTCATTCTCTCACACAGCAGCTTCTCAAAGCACTTTACAGCACAGCAAGGGCAGGAGACAAGAGCAACAGACGGGCTCGTAACGCAATCCACTGTGAAGATGTGATAAACAGGCCCTTCGAAAGACAGGTCTGGGCTGACCAGCGTGGAGGAGAGGAGAAGGACAGTCGCAGTCCCAGCTGACCCCAGCACTGTCCCTCGAACCCACAGCCACCTCACACTGTGCATCAGCCTTTCCTGGCTCACCAGTGCACAGCTCAGCCACAGAGCAGCTCCAGGCTCAATCAAGGCTCATCAATAATTAAGCGGAGCTGTCTCCAGTCCAGCAGCTCGGACACAGCGCCTGCCTGGGCTTGTCAATGCCAGGGCGAGCTAATGATTTAGGAATATAAGGCAGCCTTAAACGGTTTTCCAATAAGAGTCGGCACAAGCAGATCTTCTTTAGTCTCAAACACTTTATTGCTCTTTTAATTTGGAGGCTGTTGTTCAGTGCTGTAGGAGCACACCAGTGACACACGCCTTCCTCTAACTTACTAAGTGTTTGACCGATAAGCACGTTATGGATCCCAGTCCGCACACGCGAGCTGTAGAGACTACCCTCTCCTCTCTGTCCCCCCAAACTCTGGGGGTGACAGGGCTTCTCTAGCTGCGCCCCAAAGCCCTGGGATTCTGTCCTCAAGGATATCGGAGTCCCCTGTCCAGAGCGCATTTAAATCTAGACTCATAATCCGTCTGCTCACGAAGCCTTCTCACCAATGAGTCTCTGCCGCGATTCCCACCTTCTCACCAACTTTCTTATAGTTTCTTACTGTATAATGGGCGGCTCTCGTGACCGGTTTCACACACACTGTACAGCGTTTAGAGATGCTACTCTTAAAGGCGCTATATAAAAGTGTGCCGGCCTGATTCCCAGTGGGACTGTACGGAGTCGCTGGTTCCCGGTCCCGCAGCCCGAGCGCCCTGCCCCCCCCAGTCGGCGGCGGGGTGATGACGTCAGGGGGCGGGCGGGGAATTTTCCTCCTTTCTGCGCGTTTTTGTGAGCGAGAGGAAGCGGGGGGAGCGCGCGGGGGTCCCCCGGTATAAAAGCGGGCGCCGGGAGCGCCGAGTCCTTCTCTCACCGTCACCTGGCCACGGGGCAGCAGCAGTAGCAGGCAGCGGACTCTCCGGTAAGTTGTTCAGCTCCGACTCCTGCTCAACTTTCTCAACTCCTGCTCAACTTTCTCGCTGCTCGGGTAAGGGGTGGCTCTGCTTCTGAGGGGGTGTAGATGTGGGGGTGCGGGGTGATTCGGGGGGACTGGGGGTCTGGGCAGCTGCTCTATCCGATAGCGGCCGTGCTGCTGGGAGAACAAAGGCGCTGCCGGTCTCCCGATCTCCTCCAGCAGCTGTCCGGGCCGGGCCGGGCCGAGCCAGGCCGGCGCCCCTGGACCTGGGGCCGGCCCCGGCGGGACACGTGTCGGCTCGGCTCTTAGCCCGGCTCGGCGCTCGGCCCGGCTCGGTGGCCGGACCGGTCCCGGGTGCGCCGTGTCCCGGGGGCTGGGAAGCGTGTGGGCGAGGAGCGGCCGCGCTGGCGTGTCCTGAGCGGCGTGTTAACTTCTCGGTAACTGTTTCAGAAACAAAGCACTCGCCATGGGAAAGGAAAAGACCCACATCAACATCGTGGTCATCGGCCATGTGGACTCCGGCAAGTCCACCACCACCGGCCACCTCATCTACAAGTGCGGCGGCATCGACAAGAGAACCATCGAGAAGTTCGAGAAGGAGGCGGCCGAGGTGAGTCCCCGTCCCGGACGGGCCCGCCGGTGAACCGGGCCGGGCGCAGCCGTGGCTCGCGGCGGACTCGCGGTTCAAAGATGGCGGAAGCTGAGCTGGGCCGCGTGCCCGCCGGGCGTGGGGGAGGGGCGTGCGCGGCCCCGCGTGCCCTTTGCGCAGGCGCGTCGGGGACCCCCCTACCGGAAGTTCAGCCTTCGTAGAGGCACGTGTCCGAGCCTGGTGGTTCCGGTGGCGCTGAGCTCAGGCCTGTGGAGCCTGCGGGTCTTAAATGTGGTTTTGAGCCTCATGTGGCTGATGTTGGCGTATATGGCCTGCAAAGGAATGGGTAAAGGTTTGTTCCACAGTGTAATGAGGATTATTCATTTTAGTGTGGAATGAATCTCTGCTTGATCCTAGAGAGGCCCATGGCTTCAGCAGGCCTGAGCCAGGCTGAGGACTTCTGTGTGATGTGGGATCACCCTTCTCAAAGTGCTTTATGGAATGACAATAAAATATAAATAAAAAGAATACACAAGATAAAACACAATTACAATATACAGAAGAGACTGTGGATGGTGGTACTAAGCACAGTAGGAGCAGAAGGGCAGAACAGAACCAGTTAAGTAAAGGCTCGTCTAAAGAAGAATGGTTTGAGTCTGGATTTGAAGGGGTTTGGAGAAGGTGACTCTGATATCCTTGGGCAGAGTTGTAGAGCTTGGGGGCGCAGCAGGAGAAGCCCTGTCACCACTATAGTGTAGACATGCATGTGGGACAGACAGGAGAGCAGAATTGGCAGGTGAAGGTCACGAAGTGTGGAGTAGGGCAACTTAATAGTTCACAGGTATTGAGGTGCCAGGCCATGTAGAACCTTATAGGTCAGAATGAGGATTTTAAAGACCACAAAAGTAATGTGATCACTTGCAACAGACCTGGTCAGAATTCTAGCTGCTGGATTTTGGACATACTGCAGTTTAAGTAGATCTAGATCCCCGGTTTGGGGGGGGGTCCATTGTATTGGACTGTACCATGGAGCTATAAGAGATGAAAGACTCGCCAGCAGTGCTGTAGTGTTTTGTGCTGTTTGAGGATGAGGCCGCTGCAGGGTTGTGAGTGAAAGTTGCACTCCTGGGTGGCTCTGAGCTGTGCCGTCCAGGCTGGTCAGTGTCTGAGCCGCTGTCCCCTGTGTGTGCAGATGGGCAAGGGCTCCTTCAAGTACGCCTGGGTGCTGGACAAGCTGAAGGCCGAGCGTGAGCGTGGCATCACCATCGACATCTCCCTCTGGAAGTTCGAGACCAGCAAGTACTACGTCACCATCATCGACGCCCCTGGGCACAGAGACTTCATCAAGAACATGATCACGGGCACCTCGCAGGTAAGGGTGGGGCAGCTGGGGCTCATCCTTTCTGCTGTAACAGTCCAGCCTTGCGTAGATCAGAGTCCCTCGGTGAGTGAGTCCAGATCTTCGTTCTCCTCGGTTTCATCAACCCGCTATCCCCCCCCAGGCTGACTGCGCTGTGCTGATCGTCGCCGGTGGTGTGGGCGAGTTCGAAGCTGGTATCTCCAAGAATGGTCAGACCCGCGAGCACGCCCTGCTGGCCTACACCCTGGGCGTGAAGCAGCTCATCGTCGGGGTGAACAAGATGGACTCCACCGAGCCCCCCTACAGCCAGAAGCGCTTCGAGGAGATCACCAAGGAAGTCAGCGCCTACATCAAGAAGATCGGCTACAACCCTGCCACCGTGGCCTTCGTGCCCATCTCCGGCTGGCACGGGGACAACATGCTGGAGCCCAGCACCAACGTGAGTCTGGGCCCGAGCTGGGCAGCTGATGACCTTCCTGTCCGGTGAGAGGGGTCTTCAGTTGTCTGACCCTGAGCTCTTCCTCTGCAGATGCCCTGGTTCAAGGGGTGGAAGGTCGAGCGCAAGGAGGGCAATGCCAGCGGCACCACCCTGCTGGAGGCCCTGGACTCCATCCTGCCCCCCAGCCGCCCCACGGACAAGCCCCTGCGTCTGCCCCTGCAGGACGTCTACAAGATCGGAGGTAGGGGTCGCAGTGGAGCTGGGTTTAAAGATTCTGAAGGCCCCGTCTGCGTCTTCACCCAAACTGAACAGTAGGCCTGGGACCCCAGAGGGTCATCTGTGCCCATGTGGTCAGTCAGGTTGACTACTGTTGATCTGTTGCGTGCTGGTGCTATCCAGAGGGAGAATGGGGTGAAATGTGGGGCTGAGCTGGAAGTAATGGGGTTGCTGAGTGACTCAGCTCAGGTTTCGGGAGTCAGCAGCTGGTCAGCTTATGCTGCAGACAGTGGCTGGTGTGGAGGGCGCGGTCAGGCCTGTGGCAGTGGTGGACAATGTTGTTCACCATCCTGTTGTGTTCTTGCAGGTATCGGCACCGTGCCCGTGGGCCGTGTGGAGACTGGCACGCTGAAGGCCGGCATGGTGGTGACCTTTGCCCCCTCCAACGTGACCACTGAGGTCAAGTCCGTGGAGATGCACCACGAAACCCTGGCTGAGGCTCTTCCTGGCGACAACGTAGGCTTCAACGTCAAGAACGTGTCGGTGAAGGACATCCGCCGTGGCAACGTGGCTGGAGACAGCAAGAGCGACCCCCCCCAGGAGGCTGGCAGCTTCACCGCCCAGGTGAGTGCTCTTGTTCCATACACCTGTAGTCATTTGCGTAAAGTGGGCCATTGAGGTCTGCAGCGTTGAAGGAAATGCTGGGGGCCAGACGAGTTCTTGCAGGCTGCCCCAGCAATGATTCTGCCCTGCTGCTGCAGGGGACAGTGTTCACCAGTGTGCTCTGTGGGTGTGGAGTGGATAGCTTACAGGCTGTGCTGAACCCCTCCGCAGGTCATCATCCTGAACCACCCTGGCCAGATCAACGCTGGCTACGCCCCCGTGCTGGACTGCCACACCGCCCACATCGCCTGCAAGTTCAACGAGCTCAAGGAGAAGATCGACCGCCGTTCCGGCAAGAAGCTGGAGGACAACCCCAAGTCCCTGAAGTCTGGGGACGCCGCCATCGTGGACATGATCCCCGGGAAGCCCATGTGTGTGGAGAGCTTCTCCGAGTATCCTCCTCTTGGTGAGTCGGCCCGTTCCTTGGCTCCGGGGGCCTGTCTGCTGTTCTGCAGCTCCAAACCCCCCTCTCCTCTTGCGGTCTCGGTAACCCCTCTCCTCTGCTGTTGCAGGTCGCTTCGCTGTGCGTGACATGAGGCAGACGGTGGCCGTCGGGGTCATCAAGGCTGTGGAGAAGAAGGCCTCCTCTGGTGGCAAAGTCACCAAGTCCGCTCAGAAGGCCACCAAGGCGAAATGAATCCCCCTCCCCCAGGCTGTCCCTCAGCGCCTGGGGTCTCGGGCACTGCGCCCCGCCGTGCCCCCGACCCTGAGCGCTCTCCTCAAGGACTGGCTGATGCTCATTAAAACTCACCGCAAGAGTTTCCGCAGGAAAAA